CCAAGTCTTGTCTAATCACCTCCTCCCAATACTTCTTGGGCCTACCTCTACCCCTCCGCGTACCCTCTACTACCAGCCCCTCGCACCTCCTCACTGGGGCGTCTGCACTCCGTCTCTTCACATGTCCAAACCATCTCAGTCTCGCTTCCCTCAGCTTGTCCACCACCGAGGCCACTCCCACCTTCTCCCGGATAACTTCATTCTTAATCCTATCACTCCTAGTATGTCCACACATCCATCTCAACATCCTCATCTCCGCAACATGCATTTTCTGAACATGTGAGTTCTTGACTGGCCAACACTCCGCTCCATACAACAAGGCCGGTCTAACTACCACTCTGTAGAACTTACCTTTAAGTTTAGGCGGGATTTTCTTATCACACAAGACTCCAGAGGCAAGCCTCCATTTCATCCAAGCAGCCCCAATGCGATGTGTGACATCATCGTCGATGTCACCACTTTCTTGGATTACAGACCCAAGATACTTAAAACTTTCTTTCTTAGGAATGATCTGTGTGGCAAGTCTCACATCCACATCTGCCTCATCCAATGCATCACTGAATTTGCACCCCAAATATTCTGTTTTGGTCCTACTCAACCTGAACCCTTTGGACTCCAGCGTTTGTCTCCACACCTCCAACCTCGCATTAACTCTGTCCCGCGTCTCATCAATCAGTACTATGTCATCCGCAAATAACATACACCATGGGACCTCCTCCTGAATAGACCGCGTTAACTCGTCCATCACCAAAGCAAATAGGAAAGGGCTTAGGACTGATCCCTGATGCAGCCCCATCTCAACTGGGAAATGATCTGAGTCTCCTCCAATTGTTCTAACCCGAGTCTTGGCTCCACCGTACATGTCCTTTATCGCCCTAATATAAATCATCGGGACACCTTTAGCCTCCAAGCACCTCCAGAGGACATTCCTTGGCACCTTGTCATATGCCTTTTCAAGGTCAATAAACACCATATGAAGGTCTCTCTTCCTTTCTCTATATTTTTCTACCAGTCTTCGCATCAGATGGATGGCTTCGGTAGTCGATCGTCCCGGCATGAATCCAAACTGATTCTCAGAGATGGACACCCCTCTTCTCACCCTCATCTCCACCACTCTCTCCCAAATCTTCATAGTATGGCTTAGCAATTTGATACCCCTATAGTTGTTACAGTTTTGGATATCACCCTTGTTTTTATACAACGGAACCATTGTACTCCATCTCCATTCATCAGGCATCTTTGCTGTCTTAAGAATAACATTAAACAACCCGGTTAACCACTCTATGCTTGCCTTGTCCGTGCTCTTCCAAAACTCCACCGGGATCTCATCGGGACCGGTCGCTTTTCCCCTGCTCATCCTACTAATAGCCCGTATAACCTCCTCGATCCTAAAGCACCTACAGTACCCAAAATCTCGAAGTCTTTCAGAGTGCGCCAAATCACCCAACACAATGTCTCCTTCCCCGTCTTCATTTAAAAGTTTGTGAAAGTATCTTCGCCATCTTTGCTTGATGGAGGTCTCTTCCACCAATACCATGCCAACATATTGAATATCACATTCAGATAATTTCACAACAGATTTTGTATTGTTAGATTCGAAGATTATATGAATTGTGGGCTGACAATTTCATGCCACATAAAGGTCCTTTGTACTTTTCGACCTCATAAATTGAAATGCCAACTATCCATCTGATTGATTTTTATTTACAGTCGAGGAGCTTAATTCTAAGAAGCCAAAACAAGAGATATCGTCCTGTTTTCTTCAGGAAGGTAAGCTAATTGTCTTGAGTTAGTCTCCACTATCCACTTATGTGATACAATGCTATATCTCCCTACTTGAAATTTCGTCAACTTATGCAGGAGGACCTAGAGAGTTCACTAGTAAGAGCTTCTCAGCAGCAAGGGCGATTGAATCCCGCTTTGAAAGGAGATATTCAGGTACGTCTGTTGGTTTTTACTGTTTATCCATTGTTGGTGTCTTAGCTTCATCACCGAGAATTTTCATCTGATTTGACAAGGTTGGCGTTCTGGAGGATATAATACAAGGTATGAAGGTAAGAATCCTCAACCAAGTTCTGTCGTCCTCTTACTCATTTTAACCTCTTATATTTATAATTCCATATTTTTGACAACCAAGAAATCCTCGAGGGCCTGCTAGGTCACGATTCAAAACTCAATGATGGATGAGCTCGCCCCTCTACCTTTCTCCATTTAAATACCGAGTTTATGCTTGTACCATGGTTCAAAATGTAGTCTGTGCGGTTGACAAAGTATGAACATATTTTTGCAGGATTCTTCGGCATCACAGTGGGACGACGTTGTATTTGTTCCTCCTGGTTTCGATGTTTCAGCAGACCCCTCCCAGAAGTAACAAATATGTACACCATAAGGCTAGTTGTTAGTTGAAACCTATTATCATTTTTGATATCCTAATGCCTATGTGTATTTTGTAGACTTTGACTAATATTATTTAATGAAACTGGAGCTAGTAGTGTTTGATAATTGTAGACAAATTCTGTATGCAATAGGCTTCTAAAAGCTAGATGGGCTTGGGCCAAGCTTAGCAACCTTTAGCTAGTCCAATAATGCTACCTTTTCCTATATATACTTGTTAAAGAGTTGATTACATTATTTTCCAAATTACAAAAATCCTTTTAAATTTATGAGTTTCGGATATATTAGCAAGCATCCGGATACATAAGTGAGAGATATATAGATAGGACATTCGGATACACATTTAATTTTTTTTAAATGGTAGGATATTTTAAAGATTATGGTAAAAAAGAGTAATTTTTAAATACCTAGTCCTAATACAAGCCGCTAAAGGAAAGTATTTAATTTTTCTAATACAAGCACGAATCCTTTTTTTTTTTCTCACAACCACCAATAGTTCCCTTCTTATATGTACCTTCATCTACTAAATTAACCTTATATACACATCCCTAATTTTCTCCAAACCAAAAAACAGACATAATGTCAAAGAAAAACTTAAGAACGGTCATATTGTGATTTCCATGTTTATTTGTCTTCCAATTTTAAATCAGTTTCTAAGTCATGGAAAGCTATGACCACTGTGATTATTCCAAAGCAGTAGGCCATGAGAAGCGATATAGCAGTGATTTTGTAGTTAGAGATCCGGAAAGTCCCCAATTAATTACGATTGATGATCCTAACCAATTTTCTCCTAAAACGATGATCAAGAATGGTAAAACGAAAACGATGATCAAGATTGGGAAGAATGCTATAAATGAAGTTATCCAAATTGTTCCCTTCTTTTCTTTTCTTTCATCCAATGCTTCTCTGCAGGAAATGAATGCAGCTGAATCAATTGAAGCCAAACAAATGCAGATGTCTTCCGACCAGCCAAATGATTTGAAGGCGATAGAAGATATCAATGCCAATGAAGGTTTAGCTGATGCTGTTGAGGCTTCTGTCCAATTGTCTCAATCAGTGGTATCTGATACAGATGATAAGACGTGTTATGAGTCAAAGCCACAGGAGGCAGAGAGAAAATTTTCAGTTGTGGAGTCTAAGTTACTTGAGGCAGAGAATCAAGCCACAGAAAATGTTCCCAACAAAGAGGAACTACAGTAACTTGGACTCCACAACTGAGTTGAAATTGGCCTTTTCCGAAGATAAAGAGCATGAGCAACATGATAAGGCGGAGCAGGACAAACAGAGAATCTCCACTGAACTTTCACCTAATGCACCTACATTGGAATTGAAAGCTGTTTCGTCTAATGAAATAGATGTTGGTCGTCAAATGGAGCTTTCTGACTCATCCAAAGCTGAGGAAGAGATGGAAGATGTGCATGTGGTGTCTTTGGCAAAAGATTTACCTGCATCAGACAACCCTGAACTGCTTAAAGATTTTAAAGACTACAATAAACACAAATCTAGTTTTCCATTGGATCTAGTCTCTTCTGAAGAAATTTGCTCTGTCAAAGATGACATTGTTGCTGCATCAGAGGTGACTCAGTCTTTTGTGGGCACTGGCAGGTCTGATGGAAGCATATCCTCAGTAGCTTTGGATGTTTCAGGGGATCAGGTTACTGAAGAAAAGGTGGCGGTAACAGATTCAAGCGGATTATCATCCAATCCGAATACCTTCGAGTGTGGAGTGTGGAGTATTCTGAACTCCAATGGTCTTCAAGAACCTGAAGACACTTCAAAGAATTCTCTTTCAGATGCCAAGCAATCAACAGAAGTTGATGATCCTGTAATTGAAAGAACAGAAGAAACAAGTTTTACCATGGAAGAGGTGAACAAGGGTGGATATCCAGAAAATGAGCTTCTTGCTAACAATGAAACAACCCCTGTAGCCATTTCTTGTTTATCTGAAGCTATTCAAACTACGGTCACTCTTGGAGGAAGTGACCATGGCGAACATGAAAAGGTTGGAACCGAATGCCCAATTGGAGCTGGGGGTGAAACTGAGAAAGAAAGGACCGAGGAAAAGCTGGCAGGAGTTTCTGAAGGTGATAAAACTATCTGCCCAGTTGGAGGACATAATGACCTTGCTATAGTTACAGACACAACTGTGCATGAAAGCAGGAAAGACATTTTTCATGAAGCCTCTGAAAATGCGTCAATTAGCAATGATGCCAAAGCATTGGAGTCTGCAAGTGCAACTGGATTGGATTCCAAAGTAATCAGTGATTGTGACGTGAAAGATCCCGCTGGTTTGAACAGTCGTGTTGTTGATACTGATTTGAACAATCGTGTTGTTGATACTGATTTGAACAATTCTGTTGGTGATACTGATTTGAACAATCATGTTGTCGATACTGATTTGAACAATCGTGTTGTCGATAACTCCCCTGCAGGAGATGTCCTTAAAAGTGCCACTGGTGTCATTTCATCAGCCTCACAGAATGAGGGTGATGACAAGCTCATAAAACAGAACGAAACTGTTTCTGCAATGGATACACCAATTTCATCGAGTAGCAGAGCTGATAGCTTGGATGCCAACTGGGGTTCTATATCAGGTATAATCACTTTTGTTTCCTCTGTATAGATATATCAAATGATGAAAAGAACTTATTGGAAGTCAATTTTGGTTACCTTTTGTCGTTGTAGAAAGGTTCAAAATGAGTTTTGTTGTTTAATCTCATTCTAATATGCTCTGCTGTTTGTGATGAAACAGTTCTTTCTACCCAGTCCGAGTCGACAGCCATTCTTGATGCCGAAACAACTGATACTCAAAGACTCGAGAAGTCGGAGCATGACTTGCAGAAACCAACTTCTGGATCTGAGGAGTGCCATCCTGACAAGTCGGATGTTTATGAGCCTGCGTCTTTCATGACATTGGTTGAATCGGGTGAAAGTAGTGCTAACAAGAAAGCCACTGCTTCTGAGATCGAAACACAGCTGAACGCTCAACAGCCAAAAACAGAATCTCTTAAAGCAGGGTGGTTCCCTTCTATTACCAATGTGGTGAATGAATCTCAAGGGAGAAAGAAGAATGAGGAGATAATTGCAAAAGTCGCAAACTGGACCACAGGGAAGCAGCAACACACTCCCTTGAAAAGTCTACTTGGTGAAGCCAGATCTCCAAACGTTAAACAAGTTCCACCATCAACTAACAAGAAAGATGAAACTGCAAGTACTAAGACAACGACTGTGAACTCGATTCTGAGCTCAGAGGCACCAACTGCTGTAAGTAAAGAGGCGGAGAAAGAATGGAATTCTCCCGCGAGGTATCCTGTTGACATCAAGAAGGAAAAGAGGAAGACGAAACCATATTGGGTACTATTTGTTTGCTGCTCTTCAGTACATCAAGACTCTTAGTTCCTTTGTTGCGTGAATTCGACTATATATATATATATATATATATATATATTCTTCTCTATATTAGGCTGTGTGCATTTGAATTCCTTAATTAGACAAAATGTTTCAACTGCAGAGGGAGTATTCTTGTTTCTACATGTATATTTGGATGCATAGGTAATTGGTTTGGGCAAAATATGGCCTATTTGACTATCTCCTATTTCTGCTGCATGCAATTTAATCTTTTCCTTTCATATGATGTTCCATAGCATTCCGAGGTGTCTACCCAGCTATATATGTCACAATCAAAAAATGTAGTTCATACTAGAACTCTAGAAGTACATAGGCTTTCACATTTTGGAATCAAATTTTAAGTCAAGATTATCCTCATAACCCAAATACAAGATTTAACATGAAGAACGAACATTTAGCTATATATGTCACAATCAAAAAATGTAGTTCATACTAGAACTCTAGAAGTACATAGGCTTTCACATTTTGGAATCAAATTTTAAGTCAAGATTATCCTCATAACCCAAATACAAGATTTAACATGAAAGAACGAACATTTTAGCTATATATGTCACAATCAAAAAATGTAGTTCATACTAGAACTCTAGAAGTACATAGGCTTTCGCATTTTGGAATCACACTAAAGGTGCAATTCCAAGTCAATATTGTCCTCATTTGCAACTTGCTGATCTTGAGCTACAACTTCTTCTCCTTGAACTTGAACTATTTGTCTTTTTTGAATCTTTTCTAGTCTGCAAAGTAGGCAAGTTTTTAGATCATCCAACATTCCGACCGGAGTACTCGTGTAAGATCCAGTTATATCAAACATTTTCCTCAACATCACCGTTCCCTAGAAACTTGAACTTGAACCTCTTCCTTGAGCCTTGTTGACCAATGTCGATACGTCTTCTAGCACATATCCACCTTCCCTGCCCCACTTTCCTTTTTGTTCTTCCCCTTCGTGGTTGTTCTTGGTATATGACATATTTGGTGTATGGGAGGGAAGGATCAAAATCGTGCCAGAGATTCATGTTCCCATGTAAGTCAGCAAACCCAATGGTATCATTTGGTGGTTCAATCCTCTGAGTCACGTAATGCCGCAAGAACCTGAGTATTTCTTAGTAGAAGGACTCAAAGTCATTAAGAAAAACATCATTCTAGTGCTAAATTGGAAAGGACTACAAACTGGAGCTACCATCTCAAATGCTTTACAATTGCAACCAATACAAAATGAAATTTAAACTTGAAAAGACGAATTCTAGGATATGAAGTAAGCTATTTCTTCTTCATTCGAGTATGTACGTTGCAATTTTGAATTACAGTCTCAATTCTAAATTGACTTCGACCGAGAGTACAACTGCCCCATTTGCTCCATTTTCTTGACCATCCGCATGGTTATCAACATTCATCACCCCACCATCAAAGTTAAACTATGGATTCTATTTCTGTGCATTTCACCAAATGAAATGGTATCATTGGGATTAACTCTATTCTCACGCCTAAATGTGGTCGAGTTTTCATATTATTCTAAAATGTATATATGTTGTAATGCTTTTAGTTGAGTTGAGTCATTAATATAGCCAGTTTAATTACTAAATACACCTTTAATAAAATCTTTCTTGAGGATTGTATAAAGTCAAGTATTTTATTATATAACTTAGGATTGATTCTTCAAGTTAATAATTGTAAGCCATTAAGTGCATTTTAATACCTTGGTTCTTATTCTAAATTTCTTTATTGATAGATAATAAACTTCAAGTAGTTTAATTTTAAATTCTAAAATATCGAACAAAGTTCTAGTGTCAATTAATTAAAAATTTAAAAATTAAATTTAACTATATAAGAAAATAATGAGTGTACCACAAACACCCTCATTGAATTACTAGTGTAAATAATCACTAATAGCTTCTTTTAAATTATTGACACATACATTTACTTTCTCAGATGTCATTTTATAGAATTGCATTCGATATGTTATTATTGTGGAGAAATTATATATGCATAATGCTACTGACTTCTCCAAGTTGGATGAACAAGCCCATACAAATCTATGTCAACTATATAGACGATTATCTATGATCTTCAAGTAAACTAATTGTGTAAATTAATTAATTTAAAATTGTAAAAGAATTCAAAATTTTAGCTTATATTTACACTGTTTTGACATCCCACACCTTATATTGATTCTGTAGCTTCAATATGTTTGGATACTTTGTATTTTTTTTAAAACCTGTTGGTTTTGTGAGGTTCTATAAGCATTTTAATATTTTTTAAATTATGTTAAAGTGTAGTCTTCTAGAATATCTAATAATTCTATTTTATCATTTATTCTATCTATTTATAATAACTATATTTCATATCCTACTTTTTTTAATATAAATTTATCCTTTAAATAGTGAACGAGGAAATTGTGATGAGGAAAGGAGGAACAAAGGGAGCAATAGTTATTTGTTTCATACTAGGTAGGTGTTTGGACATGTGATTTCATATCGTGATTTGAAATCATTAAAAAGAAGAAACACTTTAAAATTTTAAAAATAAAAAATAAAAGCTAGATCTCCGATTTATTTTTGACTTTAAATCACTGATTATCTTAAACTGTCACTAATTGTAAATTGTCAAAAGTTGGTTCCGCATTTGAGTACGCTCTATATCTGCATATTTCATAGACGCAACTCTAAATCAATATGATAATCTTGAAAGAGAGTATTTTCAAAACATTCAAAGTTCATGGGAGCTCACTTTGTTTAATATCAAGTTAACACCCATAAACAATAATAAGATGATGAAACGAGTTGACTAACTCATTCAATATCCGATAAAGATTCATACTCAATAGCGGATTCAGGATTTAAAATTCGTGGATGCTCACTTTCTTTAACAGAAAATTGCTAGCAATCATAGAGTATAAATGTATAGCAACTTGAGCATGTCAATAAAAAAGTACATGATAAACAACAATTAATTTATCATCATCAAAAATAACTTATAATCACGAGTTACAGTAAAAAAAAAGAGACCAAAAGGTTTTAAAAAATAGAAAAGTTAAAAAGCTAAATGACACTATATAAATCAAAAAATTAAAAGAGAGAAAAAGTATGGTTTTTTTTAAAATTGAAATAAGAAAAGGTGCAATTTAGAAAAAAATATTGTTACAAGATTCGAAATCGTAACTAGCAGGCAGCACACCTTATAACATTAAAGTTAGAACCAAAGCATCCACTAGTATTTTGTTCAATGGGTGCTTATTTACTTCTTCTTCTTCTTTTTTATCCATTTTTCCACATTTTTCTATAGATATAAAAAATAATGTTGGAGTCAATAAATACTCGAGCATCTAAGACCCGCCATATTTATTTGTTTCTATTTTATACTAGGTTACAACTTGCAATATTTTCTACTCCTAGTGATCCAAATTTTACATGATTTTAAAAATATATTTTACATATTTATATTAAATAAATTAATGGGGCCATAACTAAAAAATGTTCTCTACAGAGGCCGTTAAGAATTTAATATGAAGGTAGATTACTTAGCATTTGGGTTAATTAATTTTTCTAAAAATAAATAGGAGTACTATTATAAGTGGGCCATGGTTTGACGGCGCTGGGCTTGATTCGTTTGATTTTATGGGCCGCACTTACCCACTTAATATACTTTTATGGCCCACTTTTCTTTTTTTCTCATATTTAAATTGAATTTCTTATAGCCTCGTTTTAAATTTATTGTACGTTTTTGTCCTTTTATTATGTCCAAAACAAATTGTTTTAAGTTCTTGTGGGGAATTATGACCTATAGTATTTTTGGAAAAAAAAAACATCATTTTTTTCATAATGATGCACTCCTTCCTATCCCTCTCTTTTTGGTTACTTCATATTTTATTAAGTGGTTAAATTTGTCTGACTTTAGTAAGTGTGTATTCTCTACAAGGAAAATGTGTTTTTATTAAAAAAAATAAAGAACCATATGAGTTTCTTAGTTTATTTTTTTGTGTTTGATACATAAGTAAAAATATTATTTTAATAATATTTATATATATAATCTAGACAAAGAGATGAGTGAAGCAGGGGGGTGTGGGGTTGGTAGGGATGGAGGTGAAACGAATATGAGGTTTATTAAAGAATGGAAATAGCACGATCAATATGAAATATTCCTTGCGAAACTTATTTTCACTATTAGATAGCAACATGACTAGGAACAAGAAAAAACTAGAAATCGATGAACAAGAAACTACAAAACCAAAAACTACTAGTATAGACAGATAACAAGGCCAACACACTGCTACACATACTAATCTTCTACCTCTAATCATAAACAATATTGATCTAAATTCAAATGGTTGTATTGGTTTACACATCCGTATGATATGATATGGCTGATAATTAAGACACATTTATTCGTGAAAGAAGTATAACGATTACCAGCTTTTATATTTTATAAATATAAACGAATCTCTTAAACTACTTGAAGAAAATTTACAAATATACTTAACATGGGCTTCATAATATCCTGAAACAATATTTAGTTTTCTTATTTTCTTTTTTTCTAGAAACGATAAAAATCTTTCAAAAATTTATCCATTTGGAATAAAATAATCTTATAAACCAAGGTATTTTGACCCATGCTTGACTACATTTTTTTTTTTTGCCTGTGTTAATAAAGGAAGGTTCACGATATGTAACAAGTAATAATAATTGGAACAAACCAAAAAAAAGTGATGGGATAAACGCTTTGCTTTCACTCTTCAAGTTTTTTTTTTCTTTAAATTTTTTTTGTGGAATGTCAGTTTCATGACAGCTAGTAAATAGCTAGCTAGATGGGAAAAAAAATTCTGGAATTTTATGACATTATTGATATGATATTCTTGCTTGCTATATTCATTGTATTGTTGTTGTATGAAGAGGATAATAACCCAAATATTGACCAGTTAGAGTTCATTGCTCAAACGGTCACTCAATTAATAAATGAACAATTTCTCTTTCTTTTTCTTGATATAATGAGAAGAAACTGTAACGTTAAATTAAGGGATAGTTCACTTCGTTCGT